CAAAATAAAAGACGATTCTGAAATGGCAATTACGGTACAATAATGCCTCATTTTAAATAAAAATTGACGCATTCGAGGAATTTTTCAGGTCTTTAACATTTGTAAACCTATGGAAACGATGCGATTCTGTTTGCGAAACAAATTTCAAATTAGTAATACGTACAGATTGATTCCCGGGACATCTCTGCTTGAAATTTATCACGTACTTACCTACCTAATAACGAGTAATAATCGACCCGTATTCGCATTAAAATTTGTTGTACTTTCTGCTTCATTAGTGTCCGTAAAGAATGTTTCATTTCAAGTACGAGTAGGTATGTAGCTGCCCAAGGTAGTTTGAACTCATTCCATTTATTCCACTAGTATATTATAGCAATCCCAGGTAAGCCCTAACACGAGTTCAAGTTTCAGTTAATTTTAATTAGCTTATGTAATTGCCACATTTTTTTTAGGTACCTCATTTAGGAAAGTTGACAATTTCCTTCAGAATTGTCGCATTAATTAAAAGAACTTTATAATAATCAGTCAGCATTGATTATCTTGTTAATTAATATCTATACGAATTCCTTAATTACGTATAATCTTACAAACTTTGGAATTAGTCAATAAACTCTGCAAAAACAGTTAGCAAATTATTTCGTGCGTCCCTATCAATTTCGTGTGGACGAGCTGGTAAGTCCTTATAGATTCCATGACACTTGCACTGATGGTGTCAGCATTTTATAATGATATTGAAGTTATAAGAGGTTATAATTTAAAACATAACGATAACTGCTACTAAACAATAAACGATTATAATATTCCATTCGTATGTTATGAGAAAGTAGTGAAAAGAGGATGTGCACTTTATTCCCATTTAATCGCAATACAGGTTTCCGGGTGTAGCCTACGAACTTCAGATTCTATTGTTTTATTTGATCAAGGTTTGGTGTTTTAACCTATTTGACGTTTTTGAATTTGTTACCTGTCCATCGCACCCAGCCCAGGAAAATGTTCAAATTCATCTTGCAAGAAACCCCTATATAGGTTTTGGGTTGGGAATCTACCCCATTGGCGTCTTAATATGGCCATTTTCAAGACAATTGCTTCTCGCATAATCTAGAGATTTAGATAAATCTCGACTTAAATTAGGGAGTTTTGCTTTATCATAGGATCTAGGGAGCAATCCGCAGTCACGAATTACCTACATTATTGTAATATGTAATATCTGTTGTGCATAGTTCCAGAATTTTGGCAAAGACGCTGTGTTCTCTAAACGCTAATTGATAAAAATAAAACAAAATATTGAATAAGTAAAATTACAAAACCCCTTAACAGAAAAAATTAATCCGAAATTCTTTACTGTTACGTTTATTAAGAGTGCAACCAACCCAAATCAGTGCATGCTCTTGGACTTACAACCTCCTAATCTGTTTTCTAATTAATTTTAGTTACATTGTAAACATATAATATTTTGATAACTACTCACCTAACAAATAGCATTACAATCAGATTACAAATATTGCATAGGTAATTAGTAGGATCTGCTATCTAAAAAATTGGCAAGGCACATTTTTTCCTAATAAGTCCAAGATATAGGTATTAAGCTCTTACCATTTCATTTCAATAGTATACTTCAGTAGCTGAATGTACAGGGTATCTTTATACTTCATAACATAATGGCATTCTTTCGTTGCTACAAATGTTTCTATCCTCCCAATCTTTTCTCAAGTCATCATGGACATAATTCTGTGCAGGCAAATTTATTTCAGTCAACAATATTATCTCAATTTCTTGCACAAAGTCAAGAAATCTAAAGTTGCGTGGAATTGGAGACGATCAAAGATTAGGTATTTGGCGTTTCCTTTAGTAAGGCTGCTGCGAGAAGAGGCGAGCAAATTGGAGATCTTGACGACTATGTGGTTTAATTATCATGTATACTTATTACTTCTCAACAAGAAACTGTTTCCGGATATACAGGGTTACCCGACATTCGCCGCAGCATACGAAAACGCCGTTAGCTGGGTGCAAATATGAATTACAATACGGCGTACACTTATATAGTAATGCAGGTTTCGACGCAGCATTGGTCAACGAGTTAGCGATGGTATTAGGATTCGTCACTGCTTGTCATTAGTCATTGGATAATTCCTGTCACAATTTTGACGCTCAACATGCATGAACCCTCTCGATTTCTTCTACTGGGGTCACCTGGATTCCACTTATGCACGTGGACCGTTTCCGAATACTGCTGCTTTGGAAGATGCCATCCGTGAATGTTCTGCGGGTGTCACTCATACCCAACTCATGTCTGTGACTGCCGAGGTGACTGCAGAATTTGAAAACCGATTCCATTACACGATTGCTACTGGCGGGGACTTATTTGAACACTTAGGTACTATAACGGCAGTGATGCGACGCAATTTCTTTTCTTAGACTGCTCTGTTCTTTTTTTTGTGTTATCGAAGGCTGTTTCTTTTTTAATGTAACCGAAGGATGTATTTTTTTCTTTCGTTATGTTTCCTCGTGCTCATCCTGCATGATCACTTTCCTTTTCCATGGAATTTCTAACGTGTCGGCCGATGCTGCGTCGAAACTTGCATTACTATATAAGTGTACGCCGTATTGTAATTCATATTTGCACGCAGCTAACGGCATTTTCGTATGCTGCGGCGAATGTCGGGTAACCCTGTATAAGGGAGTCAACCTCAACACCCCTTACTCTTTGGAGTAGCCAAACTTGTGGAAGTTCGAAAGCTGCAGGCTCTTAAAATTGCTGGCCCTTACGCTAAGGATGTGCAACACTTTTACCACGGATAGAAGTATCAAAGTAGCGTTGAACATTACAAACGAAAGCTGAAATTTAATATTGGGGATTGAAATAATGAACTATTGTGCAAAAACAGCCATGCTTTTCGATTGCAATTAGGTACATTTGTACGCTTGCAATTCGTGGAGATATATGTATTTAAATTTAAGTTGATAATCCCTATTTAAAATATTGTTTTTAAACATTAAGATTTGTGAATATGATTAATAAAACGCAATCACGATTTGTCGACCGAGTTTAAAGAGAAATGTGGTTTTTCTGTTTCTTTTATTTGATTTCCTTTCATTTGAAATGAGAAAATGTCTGTTCAGCGACGTTGATATTTTATTTAACGTCATTTGAAAACAATTTCATTTCTTATTTCAATACTTGTGTTGCTTTGTTCTACACTTTAAGTTTATAATTTATTAGATGAGCGCACCTGATGCTAATTGCCATTATTCCTCATTTCTTTGCCGAAATGTCTTGTGATTCGTTACGACTTGCACGCTGTGGTACGTACCGAGCGAGGTACCAAGTGTCCCATTTTAGACAGTATCTTCGTAATTGTTAGTTCTATCATTGAATAACTGTCATTATAAAGAAACTTTTGTGGTAAACACTTTTTTTTACTGTAACTTTTAAAAATATAGTACCATTCTGAAAATAACAATTTTTTGTTTTCCCCCGTATCTTTTAAGCGAGCGAATATTTTTAAATTTTGATTTTACCATTGTAAGTTTGACCCAGAAATATTTCCAGAACTGCTCAATGTTGTGGAGCCATACAGAATTATGTCTAAGTAGGACTTACCAAGGAGTTTTCCAAAATTCAGTCGGTTTAACTTTGGTTGGTAGAAAATACCATGGAAACAATTTGAGTTATGGCAATCATTGTTAGCATAGCAAAATCTACAACCCATCAGTTACCTAAACCGGTTGAATTTTTGAAAACGCCCTTCTACACTAGCAGTTATTTTACAGTTAAGGAATTTCTTTGTTAGACATCATCATAGCTAGGCGGATAATTTAAAAAAACGTCCCGAACAATGCAGGTACATAATTATATTAAGTTATTAGCATAACTTTGACCTCATAAAAAAATTAAAAGATATTGGGAATAGTACACATTTTAATTTATTTAAAGAACATTTTTATTTATCTATTGATAAAATTGCAATAAAAAATGGTGTCATTGATTTAAAAACGGTTTAGTTCTTGCTATACTGCCCTTAACACAATACACAATTATATATGCAATTTTATAGTAAGTTCCGATGCACGTAATCGACAACAGTTTCCAACTTTTGTTTTTTTTGTGTTCAGTACATCGTTGTATTCGCAATAAAAAATGCTACTCAATGTACCTACGTGCTTTTTACGGGCCAATAAAATTGATGATGATTTCTTCGAAACGAAACGTTTTATTGAAATACTCTCAACGGTGTCTTGTACAACTCAAAAAGAGGCAATGAGAAAGTGTTTTTTTTGTATCTATTCAGAAAAAAATAAAAACAAAATCGGCAAATTTCGGTTTTCTAGCATATCTTGAAGTAATAGGAATTTTCTTGTTTTCTTTAAAGCAGGATAACTCTTTAATTGTGCATATTTTCTTTGCATAATTCCTTGAAAAGATGAATCGCGACCTACGCCCAGGCAGTGCACGATTTTAGGCCCAGTCTTGAAGCGTAAAATAAGAGAACTATTGTTTAAATAAATAATTAAATTAATCTATAAATGCACGCACAATTTTCAGGTTTTCAATAAATATCGGCAATGCTTCCTCTAGTAACTGGGGTAATTCTGGACGGACCTTGTACCTATGTCTGTTGGTGCTCGAGAAAAATTTAAAAAAAATTTTGATTTATGTGAAAAAATCACTTGCTATCGCTCATACTTGTTACTTACACCCTGTATGATCGGGTTTGCCATATACCTAGACCGTAAACAAAATTACACTTTCTTACATGAAATTTAAGAAAGGAAAGTGGGTGAACCTTTTTCGTCTAAATCAAATAATTTTTCAAAAAGTAATCCTATTTGTCTCTCAGCTAATCACTTACGTAGTTAACTAGTAAGGCAAATGTATTCTCGAACGTATTTTATGTTGTAATTAGTTAATGTCGTTCAATTGGTAAATAAGTAATTATTTATTTAAATATGCTCGAGATATGAGACAAAGCGGTTATTTTTTATTCCTAGAACTGACGTACCAATTTTGTTTTCCAAATCTTCCTCAAAAACATCATCTTGTTCCATATTTGTCAGTTGGGAGTGATCTTTATCGATGGCAACAGCACGTCGTTTAGATGCGCGCCTTTTTTTCCCCATATTCTTAACAGGACGCACTAAAACACAATTTGAAAATCCAGTAATCACTCGAATTTTTTAATTGAGCGGTCATGGCGCACGCATTTACGATCAGAAAAGCGGCAAACGCGGCGTATTCTATCCGTACACCGAGCTTTTGCAGAGCAAGCACGGAACATACTGTTTCTGTTTCAAAAGCTGAAGCCGGCTAAAGCAACCCTGAAAAGTTACGCCCCCACTACTGGATTATTAAAAGTTTGTGGAAAGCGAGTGTTTTAATTTCCAATTCGTCGTGAAGTATAGTTTATTATAAACTAATTTCTGTAATCATTCTCTTAATAGATAACATTTTTATTACTTTTCCCATAATATGTCATATGTACACGCTAATTATTCAGTATGCTCTTCAATGATAAGTCGTAACGACTTTTTTAAAAATATGGACTCTCTTAGATATTTGTCCCATTCGTTTAATTTTAAATAAAAAATATTAAATGCCTAATATTTGGAAAACTGAATATTATCGGAATAGACTACAAAGTAAGTAGTCATTATTTTTTGTGCTTAATAAGCATCTATTAAAAAAAAGTTTTGAACGCTCTATTTGTTTGTAATCAAATCTGCAACACAGTCCACTAAAGCGAAACCTCTTATAAAATGAAATCAATTGAATAATCAACAGCCCTCGTATTTAAAAAAATGGTAATTATGATTTGGGTTGCAAACGTTAACTGTTAAAAACGCCTAAATTTGGCTATAGGATTTTACATGCTAATTTTTCAACCCCCTGTAAAAGAGATTGGATATGAAGACCTAACGAAGAAATTTAGGGAGATGGCGCCGCAAAGGAAACTTGTAGTGAGCCAACATTATTTTCTCAGCATAGCCCAAAAAGAACATCAATCTATAGCACAATTTGTAGCCACCCTGCGTCAATCTCTCTCTGAATGTGAATTCTACACTACATGTGAGTGTTCAAAGAAAATCTCCATTGTTTTATTACAAGAATATGACAAAATATCGTGACTGAGTAAGTACCTAGTGGTCATAGAATAAAATGAAAATAGTAAAAAGGTCGATATAAGTAATAAAATTTTACTACACTCTCGGTATGGAAATATTTGTTATTGACGGCTGCTGTGATTCTTAACACATATTACAGTAAAATACGATTTATAGTTGTTTGGAAATTGAAATGACACAAAAACAATACAATGGGCATGTGCGTAAACAACGTGAGCTTCAAAGTTGGCGTGGGTATTTTTGTTGGAATGGAATGTCCATTCATTTAATAACGTTGTAGATAATAAGCAGACATAAATCACCATGCACATTGCACACCTTCCACCACGACCAACCGAAATACATACATAAAAATATATACCTACAGGGTGGTGACTTGCGTAACGCATCGTAGGGATTTCAATGTAAAATTCATAACATGCGATTATTGGCTCCCCATATTATTTTAGAGCAAAAATGTATTAACGTTTTTTGTAGAAAAAAATTTTTTACGTCAATCAACCGTATTAGTTTTCAATTTTTTGCATATTAAACACGGAAAATTGTAAAAATAAAACCCGCATCTTTTTCAATAATCTGTGATGCCATGGAATTTTATAATACATAAACTACGCCAATATCCGTCATGCCATGGAATGTCTGCTATAAAACAAATCAAATTCTATCAAAAAGTATTATATTTAGAACAGCGAATTCAACATAATGAAAGACCAAATTACTAAAAACGGTTTTCTAATATAACAATTTACAATAAATGTTCGAATAAGATACCATTAACTGCAAGACAGTAACCAAGTCGATCATAAAATCTATTTCGAACTGCTGTTAATTGATATAACTTGATATCTTTTTGTTTTAGAAAATTCCATGGCATCGCAGATTATTGAAAAAGATGCGGGTTTTATTTTTCCAATTCTCCGTCTTTATTATGCAAAAAATTGAAAACTAATACGGTTGATCATTGAATAAAAACACTATTTTATTCAATGGGTTGATTGACGTAAAAAATGTTTTTCTACAAAAAACGTTAATACATTTTTGCTCTAAAATAATATGGGAGCCAATAATCGCACGTTATGAATTTTACATTGAAATCCCTATGATGCGTTACGCAAGTCACCACCCTGTATAGGTAGTCCTGTAATGTAGGTATTACTAACGTTAAACTTAACGTGCAGGTTACCTGTAGAAAATGTTATTTTGCCCATAGATACTAAATAACGCAAAATAACGTTTTTTGGCAGATAACCTGCACGTTAAGCTTGACGTTTTTGATTAGTGATTACCTATTATAACAAAATGAACCGAGGTCTAAGCACACTGATGCTTAACAAAGAGATGATCAAGGAAGAAAAGTTTTTGTGCGTCGAGCGAGGTAATGTGTTGTGTGGTTTCACCGACGAAATTGGTAAATAAATGACGGTTGTGCTTAATTTTAAACATCTCGAAGGAGTTTAGCAAACACTGTTTCGTGTTGAAGAGACAAAAACATATCACAATTCATAAACACATAACTTCTGCCTAGACTTCTGCCGTATATCTAAATATTAACAGCAATACAAAAGGCGTGTGAATATTAAAAAAAAGAAGCATACTACAAAAATTAAAAGAATAGGTACAGGTACAACAGCAAACAACGCAGTTCTCCCGCAAATTGTCTTAAGTGTAGGAGCTGTGCGTCTCTTTTCCTTTACACTTCCACATGTTATAACCTATAAGTTCACACAATACCTTTTAAATTTCTTTTAAACAACGATCAATAATTATAGCTATTTGAATAAACCTTTATCTTTGACTTGAATGGACAGTGAGTTATGAATATAATTATCAATACCATCACAGCCTTTGCCCCGCTTCTCAATACAACCCCTTGTGTATATTACTTCATTATCTGTTTCCATTTAGGCATTTAAAGCTACTATCCCTATTATTATGGCCATTCTGTTACGTCAATATCGTTGATTGTATCTCAATTTATTACATATGGTAATGCCAACGACTAAGAAAAATCAAGAAAATAAAACTAAACTATTATCTATATAGTGGTACGGTAAGATTAAGAGGCAACATGCAATGGGTCAAAAGGTTGTCGATTTCAGAGCAACGGCGACGTACTACCGCTATCACATAATTAATACAACGCGTGTTCATTGTAAAAATATAGAAAAAAGTTCGCAATGTTACCAAATCGACTTCTTAAAGTGATCCTGAACGATTTTGACAACAATATGACTTTACAGGACGATACGCCGGTTTAGTACCTATTACTCCCCAGTTCTACATTTTAAGTAGCGTTGGGCTCTATTCAACTAAAATTTTATTATGTTATTTAGCAGTAGGTATTACCTGCTAGTACTTTTTAGCGTATTTTCCTCAAAGTGAAAAATCGCTATTGGCTGCACTTTGACGTCGGTCCGTCTGTCCGCCACACGTACTCCTTCTAAACTACTGAACCGATTTTGGTGATATAGGTCTCATTTGAAAGGGCTTGGTTCAAGGATTCCGTGCATACCCATATTTTTTGGGTTTGCGCATACGCAATGCCAACTTTTTTATTTATGAAAGCATTTAAATGCAATTTAATACATAGGCACTTGGAATACAAGCAAAACCGGTCTTAAAATTTTGATTTTGCGCATGCGCAATGGCAACTTTCTTCATGTGTGACAGACTCTCATTTCCGGCTAAGCGCCAGAAGCGATTGGAACCAAATGTGGTACACATTTTGTTGGGCCCGAAAGAACGTAAAACGCGCGTGCGCAGTTGTGAGTTGGGTGTCCCCCACCTACTAGTGACTCAACTAAATTCGCATGTTTATTAAGTTGATTTCATTCAAAACTAAAAATTAGATGTTACATTAAAAAGTATAGTAAGTATACCTACCTAGGTACGTGCTTATTGGGTATTAAAATAGTACTTATAGCATAGACCGGTGGAGGGAAAAGTAATAGCTCTTTCATGCATCCAAGTTAAAAATCCTCTGTATGAGAAGTAGTTACTTATAATTTCTTATTTATCCTTCAAGTAAATGACAAGAAATAAGAAAAATAAAAAAAAAGAGTGTTAGAATTTGGTCTTTGTATTTGGTCAATCAAGAAAAGGTTGATACTTAAATAATTACGAAGAGAAAGGCCAAAACACTAAAGGCGACATAATGATTCTCTAAAAGCAACGTTATTTCGTTATTGTGTCGTAAATAACACGCCTACGGAAACAAATAAATCCTCTTATATATAAGTAGATTGAAATCAAAATATCTCAACCAAATCATGTTTCCATTCATAACGCTTTTTTAATGTCATCCTAAAGGCAAAAAGATCAGGTACGCACAATATTCAATTTAAATACAACGTTGTCGTGGGCACGTTGTAACCTATTATCAACCCGGCTTAATTTAATACCGCTTTGTAGATGTGTAGATATTTTACGATTCATTTTTCTTTTATTCATTAGACATTAATTGATTAACTAATTTCTTTTGAGGAGATCTACAACGCTTGTGCTTTTTTATAGCAATGTGACAGTGAGTGATTTAATCCATCCGAAATTTTATTACTCAATTTATTATGCAAATCTGTCATTTAGTAATCTGTCTCTACCTACTTAACTTACACTTTACCTACTCACTTGAGGGCAACTGTTCTGTTTCAGCACTTATTTTCTATATAAATACATAATTTTATTGTGGTATGGCTATATTGTTAAATAGAAATAACAATTTTTGAACTGAATTTTGAAAATATCAATATAAACAGCGAGGGTTCGCTCACCGCTGTATTGTCGAAAATAATTTTTTTTGTATATACAACATTGACATAGAAAATCCAGGTAGGTATGTACTTAGGTAGGTATAAATCAGAAAATAATAAAACTGTAAACTATAGGTATACCTACAATTTAAATTTTATTTCGACATTTTTTGAATTAATACTGTTAATTGTATAATTGGAAACTGCATATATGTATTCTGTCCTTCTGCAAACATGAAAAAAGTAGGTAGTTTAAAACCGTAAAACTAAATTTAGGAAGATACTAACAAAACAGAATGTATAAACAATGAGATTGTTATTTCAATCAAGAGGATTGCAACCAGCTGTCAGATTGTAACTTACTTAGTATTTATTTTTCAGTTATAATGGTGAATAAATAAATACACTTAATGCATTTGGGGTTGTTTTAGCTTTATCACACTATTTGATCACGTCTGAATTGGGTATCCTATTTATAACAACTTTTTTAGGT